GCAATGTTTTCCCTTCCTTGTGGAGAAGGAAGGGAAGGTGGCTGTTGGCAGCCAGATAAGATGGATTTATTTTTTGTCCTCATTTAGATCTCTGTTTGCGTATTTGGAGTGTGATGACTTTTTGCTGTTTCATATTTATTCAAGTATTTTTCTACTCTGCCAGAACTAATTTAGATAAAGCTTTTCAAAAAATCGGATATAAAATGTGGCATAATTTCTGCTGGAGCTTGTGTTTGTTGTTAATTCTAGATTTAGAGTAGTATTAAAGCCTGAAATTGGTCTCGCAGACACCTGCACGACAGTTCAGCGTGGAGACCTGTGCTCTGCAGAGCGGCCTGAGAATAAACACAGTGTTGGCAAGAAAAGCGCCTATCAACACTCTATTTCATACAGGCTGGAGTCTTCCACTAAACGATGGTAAGCGAGAAACAGCTCTTCACCCCCGGACAGCTTCGGGAGCTCTGTAAACGACCTTCACTGGAGTAGGAGGCCAGCTCCCACAGACTTATGTAGCAGCTTATGTTTGTGAGAGTTAAGAGATGGAAACCTTCTTTTTCTATGTTTTCTGTTTCCTGGCTGCATGAGCTTGAAGATGTCTTACCACCGGCTGAACTTTTTAAATCTAAAATGGGTTACTTCGAAAGCATTAAGTCAAATCTGCAGAGATGCAAGAATTGTGGTGCCTAGGTGTATGCATCGTATTTCCTTTCTGGTACAAACAAGCAATAAAGCAGTGAATTGTAATGCCAACAGGTATCATTGGGAGTGATGTTAGGTTAAAAATACAAGATTTAAGTAAATTCTGGAATTTCAGAGTTAACAGAAAAAACCCTCCACGTTCATTGTACACAACAAAATCCAGCAGTGCTTCAGTGAATGCTGCCTTGGAGAAGAGAGAAGAAAACAGAATTTCTGGCAGAGTAGAAAGAATAAGATTCTGGTTTGAAGCATCTCGGTCCAGATGCTGTCAGATACGGAAATGAGTAAGTGCCCTTGATATTTCCCGAGTCTTGTGAGTTTAATCACCTCAGAGATACGCTAAATTGATACAGTTTTTAGGAATCACACTGTTGAACTTCTAAGAATGTGATCAGTCTTTTTATTAACTTCTTTAACAAGGAGGTGTGTTTTCAGTTCTCCTCCTTTTGGCCAAGGTGTAATTGGCCTATAATGACTCCATAATGAGCAGCGAAGTGAAAAGGGCGGCAGTGATTGCGCACCCACATCTGCCCCAGTTTCCTAGCAGCAGCGTTGCACTTCACGAGTGTCAGATCCATTTTGTTTGCTCTTGGCTTACAAGCAAAGCTTTAAAGTAAGGTTTAGCTATGGTGCTGCAAGCTGGGACTTCGTTGCGTTTGGATTTGGAAGCCAATCCCCTGACTGCGTGCAGCAAAACCACCCTGCAAACCGAACAGGATGCCTTGTGGAGGATGCGGAGATGGAAACTGCTCCAAACTCCCTCCAGTGCTGAGGAGAGACATTGCTCTGAATCGACGGGTGGGCTGCACTGCCACGGGCTCCTCCAGTGTGCACCCAACACATGTGTCTTAAGTAGAGAGCTCTCCACAAACCCCCAGGCCCTGGGGCACCCTGAAGTGGTTGTGGTGATGTAGAAGTGACCCAGTGCCTTATCTGCCTTCCTTTCCAGCAGCAGCTGCCAGCCTCAGCTTCTCCTTGTGACTCTCCTGCTCCTTTGTTTTCCGCAGAGACTTTTCTTGGCCTTCACCTTTACATCTTTAAAAACTGATTCATTTTCTGGCTTTCTGTTGTGTCTTTTTTTCCACTTTGACTGCTCATCCTTCTGCCTCTGGCAGTCCCTTAATAGGATGTTGCTGCTCGTGCATTTGCTCCGGAGGAACCCTGAAGGCTTGCCTGGTAGTAGGGTGCTCCTTGACCTCATCGGGAGGCTGCTTTATCCCGTGGCTCCTGCTGATGGCAGCTCTGGTAGTCGGCACCGTGTGAAATACCTGCACAGGAAGGTGGTGGTCTGGCTCTGCCTGCCCCCAAGAGGTTGCTTGCCCGCTGGTAGCGAGAGGAGATCATGATGCTGTGCAGAACGGGGGCTGCACTCCAACACGGGCATGGGTCCCACAGCTCCAGGTGAGGGGCACGGAGCTGCGGCGCTAGCACTGCAGGAGGGCCCCTCTGTGTCTGACAGCTCTGCTCCCACCTTGGTTGTCCCATGGATTGCGAAGTTCCGCTCCTCGGAGGTTTTTTGCTGGACTCAAAGTCAGCCGTGGGCAAGGAGCTGCTGCATCAAGGGCTCCTGCAAAGTCTTTCTGCTGATCTTGCCCCTTGGAGAAAGGGCATCGAGGGAGGGGGCTCTCAGTTTGTGCAAGCTGCCTCTCTCAAGTAGCTGGTGTAGCTTCAGGATCAGCTCTTGCCCTGTCACCACCTTGTGTTGGATGCTTGCCACGCTCAGCACAGGCAGAGGGCTCAGCTCCTTGCTGTCGCTGGAAAGCAGCGTGCGCAGGAACGGAGACGACACGTCAGTGTTTGAGGCCATTGTGTGATGGTGCCGGGGGTGTGGATGTGCGCTGGCACGCTGCTGTCATGGGTGGGCAGGTGAGAGGACAGCATGGCGTGACCCTTACAGAGGGGGAGAGCTTTCCTTGGGAAAGCTTTAAACTGTGCATGCAGGGAGGGTGAGCATCTTGCAGGCCAGGAGGCCAAACTCGGGCTCGCCAGAAGATACCCCCAGGCTGGATGCTGTGGAGAGCAGAGGGTGTGCTGTCTCGTCTGCTGATGTGCTCCTGTTGTGGCACGCAGCTTGCTCGGGAGGACAGGGCAGCAGAGGAGAGTGGGCTAGGAGACTGTTTAGCCTAGCTGACTTGTCAAAGTCGTTCTGCAGTGAAAGGTTAAAACAAATGCTCTGATTGCGTGCTTTTTGCTGCTCGCTTAAAAACAATGGGAAAAGATCTCCCCTGTCGTTCCACGAAAGTGCCCCTGTTTTGGAGGCTCTGGTGAGACTGAAGCAGCTGATGCTGTGTCAGCTGCTGGCAGTTCATGCTGTGTAGTTCCCGAAAGCTGTGCTCCCAGTTTCCCTTTGAACAGGTCTGGAGAAATCACAGGGTAGGATGTGACCATCCACGTGAGTAGGGGGTTTTTCCTTTCCCCAGTGACCAGGTATGGTAGCAGCCACTCAAAGCTTATGTGCCCTTGCACTGCTTAGTTACTGCTTTGATCGCTAATGATGGAAAGCTCTCTCGCCTAATTGTGAGGGGAGAGCTGAGCCAGGTGAAGTGGAGGATTGAATCTCCATCCTCATGAAGACCCTTTGCTCGGCAGGGTTTGGTTCTTGCACCCCTTCTCCCCGGTTTTCCTTGGGGGTGGGGAGCTGTATGGCACACCTCTGTGTGGCTGCCCAGATGCTGCCACAGGGAGTCGCAAAGGCTGACGGGCTTTTCAAGGGAAATCCTAGGAAATATCAGAGGGATTTTCTTCTTGGAGAGAGCCACAAGGTGGAGCAAAATGATTCCAGGAGCTCCTGGTTTGTAATTTCCCTCTTTCTGTCTAAAAACATCAACAAGAAAAGCTGTTAAAGACCCACTATCAAGCTGGAAAAACCTGCTCCTTAACATCAGGATGTCGTGGGAAACCGTAATGCTGAATTTCAATCCGCTGCTGTGCTTTTGAACTTCAATCGGAGAGGTCTGTGCCAAAGCTGAGGGCAGTCTGAGTGAACCGGAGAGTTTCGCTGTCTTTTCTGTCAGCGTATCTCGGCACCTTTTTGAATCCAGCAGTAACTTAGCTGCTGAAGACAAAAATCTGTGCGCTGTGTTACGCAGCACTACCCACCGTTTTCATGGATGGCCTAACAGAAATGAGGTCAAGCGTCTTGTTTATCGGTTTGTGACTTCCCATATTCGCAGGGTCCGTGTTCGTGCTTGTTTTTGTGCGTGGGAATGCGTGTGGCGTTTCCTGCAGCTGTGTTTTGTGTGTTACAGGCCACTAGTAGTCCACAGGCCATCGGTTAGGAAACGGCGTTCTAGATGATCAGCTCGCAGCCCTTACTTAAGTCGACCTAAATACCATCACCTCCTCGGGTATGACACCCTCGGAGGGCTGCCTCCTGCAGCCGGTCCCACCGGCTGGCCCGCGTCCCGCCCCGAGCCGGTGGGTTTGGGGTTC